GTGTTGAAAATCTGGATGTTGTTCCACATGCTGAGTGCAGAAGATCTCTACACTGGTTTCAGGCTAATGAACGCCTGTCTTGCTTGCCTTTCCAATTCTGACTTTGACGTCCTCGTCTGTGCCAACAACGCCTGTAGTTGAAACAGTGCTGCCTGACTAGATAGGTGAAGGAGGTTACTTCCTTTAAGTTTCTCCCGTCAATTGTGATGGTGACTGGAGTTTGTTGTTGTTGGTGTTGCGGTATCTTCATCACCTCTGTCTTCTCTATATTCACTTGAAGTCCCGTCATTCCATATAGGCTTCCCACAAATCGATCTCTGAAGGGAGCTATCTGTTCTGCGTTTCAATAAGCCATCAGGAAAATGGAATTCTGAATTCTCTTCAAATTCTTATGTGAAGTTGGTCAATGAGTGACAATCATTGAACTTTTTAACTATTGTCCCAATATCTGTATTTTGATCACATATGATGAATGTATCATCCACATATATCTTTTATATAAGTAGAAACTACCAATTGTTGAATAAAACACACTATTCTCTAGGTTTGCCATAAAGCAATCAGCCAGCAGCAGTTCAAGTGGTGACCCCGTCCTTTTGTTTATCTAAACTAATTGCCGAATTTGAACTGCACGCTGAAAGTACATTATCGAGATGAAGTAATGAATGTTTGTATAACTGTTTGATTTTCTGAAGATACATTCGTGCATATACAATCTAATATGAAGATATAGTTCGTATCCATTGGTCAAATAACTCGTTTACGATTTATTAAATTACCGTTGAAAAATAATAAAATGTTTGGTTTTACTATCATAAGTTGAGAGTATTCAACACTTGAACTCTTGAGAGTAGGACATAGAATAGGTGAATCAGATGAAAGTAAGAAGTGGTTTACCGTTCCCGTAAGATATATAAGTTATACTGTCTGCTATGAAAACAGATCAGAAAAACAGTCCAATATACATCACTTCCATGCAATCTACACAGTGGTGAGACTAATAGTCTGAGTTCCTTTTCAAACTGTTTCACTCATTTCTCTGAGAACACTAAAAACGAACTTAATTTAGAGGTAGGATGAAACCACGCCAGTACTCCGATACAAAGATGATGAAAACAGATGTGCACTACCATTCAAATAATTGTGTTACCTTTGCATGCTGGAATATCCTAAAGAGACCTACCAACTACTTTAATAATTTACACTTCAGAACACCATTATTATCTCATGTAATAGAAGCAAACATTCAGCCGCTTGTTAGTTGAATGTCTAGTCAAATGATAACAGTATGACCTGTCAGAACACGGTTATGGATCGCCTGCCACCTAAAACTTTCCACCAAGTGAACATCAGAGATCAAAGAAAATTATCAATGATGATGTAATCTATCAGCAGTTAACACTGTACAAGATGAAGTTGGTTACCCTCCAGTAACCAACCAATATGCCTAATCTAGTCCCACAGACCAGTCATGGCCTGAATATAACACTGGGTGAATATAACAGGCTGGATATCCGTTCCGTAGAGACTGCGGATACGCCTAGCTGACGAGCGCCAACAAGTACGAAACCTAGGTAGTGAATTTCATTATTTTAATGCGTTACGGAGCATTTCAACAAAACTAGTCGACATAAATACTAAAGTGTTTTAAGCTTTGTTATCTACTCTTCGTATAGCAGGAAATGTCCGTGAGTAGTGTCTACTTAATAAAAGGAGTTAGTTCGGAAACCTTCTAGGTAAGGCAAGTAGACAATGATAGGACCCAGAAGAGAGTCTCAATGCCAATGTCGTTCGTCACAAATCATCTGGCTTAAAAATCATTTTGAGTAGACGCATGTGTAGACTAAAAATGAACAGTAAATAGTACTCAGCATTATCATGGAGATAGAAGAGTACGGAACGACTTTAGGTATATTGAAGTCGTCAACAAAATATAAGACTAACTCTCATCTAAATTGAACTTCACTTTATTTCTGTCAAACTATTGTTGTCTTAATTCACTCACGTTGCGACTGACGTTCTCAGGGGGATGTACATCACCTTCATCTCCAGTATTACTATTAGCAGTTAGTTGTCTCTGGAAATCCATTTCTGTCAGTTGTAGTTTTCCGTTTGATAATTGAACGGCGGTTAAATCAATGCCTGAAACGTTCACTTTTATTTTATGCACTGAAAATGATAATGAAATATCTAGGATGATAAATTGTGTATATATTATTGTTTTTTGACCGAGTATTTACATAATTTGCTGTTTGCTAATTCGTTACTGGTGGTTTCTAACTGGAACAGTTATAGGGGTTATCATCGAAAAGCAGAGCAGTTCGGGAGACCAAATACATCCGAATTGTACTTATTTCTGACTGATCTGAGGTTAGTACTACCTCCAAGGAATCCTATACTAGGACGAGACAGCTGGCCAGTGCTCTCACCTTTTCAATGGTTTCCCAGCTGGTGTCTGTCCGTGATGAACACCACCTTTATCATATAACTTAGGTTAAGTTTACCTCAAACTCCAATTTCTCGCATTTCTAGTCTTTGTCAAGTTAAAAACATTCGCTTCCATGAAGTTCTGAACGAGTATTGAGCATTCATTCTTCTTAACTGCCATTCTATGATAATGAACACTGGAAACTTCATTACTCCTTCCTAAATTATCCTTTTTATCAATCTAAACAGTTGCAGTGCATATTTCTGTCTGCTTTTATATCTGCTTCCACCATGGCTGAGCTAAATTACAAGCGCTCTCATGTCTTCATAAAGGAGAATATTTGCAGCTGAATATGATTATATTGGAAGGACGAACTAGAAGAACCTTAAAATCAAATAAAATGTTCCCAGCGATATCAGATTCTTAGTGTGAGAATACTCAAATAAAAATGATTTATTTATGTAATTACTTGTACAAAAAAAACACTACACTCGTGGCATAAGAAGTAGCTATCGTGACTCAGTAGGCTAGTGGTTAGAGCTTTGGCATTTGAAGCGATTTTCCCAGGTTTCGAGTCTTAGTGGGAACAACACCACTTACTGGGAGGCGGGCGAACCCAGCTGATGAGTTCCAGATAGGACTGGTAAACACTATTCACCATTAAAAATTGCTTGTGGTAAATATTTTAATCAGTGTACTGATTTAAGAATATTATACATTGTATACCTCAAAACCAGATGGTTAGTTTACGCATTACACTCCTTATGACAGCACATTAAGAACAAAGGGTTAGACTCTTTTCAATTGCTTCTGTAGAAATCATATAATCCCAAGATGTGTGATCTTGGCTTTCTTCTGCTTCAGTTCTACTTCGGCTTAGATACAACGTTGAGGGCGGTGGTGCTGACTTGACATGCACAACGAATGTCCCAGCCAACTCGACTGACTCATTTTCCTTGCCTAGTACTTTTCGTGTAAGCTCAATACTGGCCAGACAGCGATTCCACTACACACGAGGAATGCTGTGCAGCCATTTTGTCAGTGTCTTCACCCTACAAGACTACATTATCCAAGTCAACCGGGTGTCCTCTCAGAGGCAAGCCAACCCCTGAAATGTCGAAGCTACTCAGGGTTGTGTTCATGAAAACATATATTAGGAAGATAACCAAGAATCGTGTCAGTAGACCTCTTCACTTGATAACACTGGTTGTCATTATTTCATGTGATAATATGTGGATTTATGGGGAGTCAAGATAAGCTTTTGAAACCAATAAGCATGATCCAGAATTCAGATTGATGATTTGGTATTTTTGTACTATAACTCTGATACAGTATCCAACCAAATATACTTAACCAACTTGTATTTGTAAAATTAAAAACACTTTGCACAGATAGAAAATATGATTTTCTTTTCTTTTTAGTCAGCCACTTATATGACACTTAGATAATGTACACAAAAACTCATCGAGTGAGTTAAATGGTCCTTGTTACATAGTCCACATAATTTTGTGCATAAATATCATTGAATATACTGTTAAACACTGCCACTACATAGATAGACTTACAAATAATGATTCCCTAAAATTACAGAGAATAGTAAATGGACATACATACTTTGCATCACCTTATCAAATATTGACTACTTATAGTTGACAGTTTAACCGTCCTAAATGAATGATCAGACAAATAACTAACCACTCCGAATGAAAATACTCAACAACTGCTTGATTTTTTATGTCAATTCAAATGTTTTACACTAAGTTCTCATGTTTTTAAAATGTTTAGCCGCTTTTTGTTTTACTGCATCAGTTCCATAAAATTAACTTGTAATCCCTGTTGAAAATACGAGGTCATTTGAATCCATTGGCATCACTGCAACTGATGGTAATGATTTTTAACAAAATGATGTGAATGAAAACCACTAGCTGCCCTAATTTCCAACTAACATCTAACTTTTATATTATTATTATTACTACTACTACTATTATTATTGTCGTTATCGCTGTATATGAATCCATGATAATTTGGAATCCTGTATTTTCATAGCTTCTGTGGTGAAGATGACGTTTAACGGAGTAGTCTGATTCATCATTAATTCTATTTTATTGCTTATATTGTTAATTAAGATATTGGATTCATTATTACCTGCTGTAATGTCTTCACTGGTTATTGTTAATGATGACGACTGAATGTTTCCATTTTCATACTTTCAATGTTATCTAGAAGCTATGCAGATATTTTGTGAGTAGTTTTCATCACCATTTAATGAAAATTCTTCTTTAGTTGTTTTCAACACTTTTTTGGTATTACAGAATCCTTAATTTGGCTAAGAATAAAAGTGACGCCATCACCAGTAGGTGTTAATTTGTTGAGGGTATTTTTATCTCCTAAAGTTTGACTTTCATCTAATTGTACTTCATAATTTGGTAATGAAGCTATCCACATATTCATGGAATAAATTGTATGGATTACATGTTTATTGTAAAATAATTCCATTAGGAAGTGAAGTTGTCGTTATGAACGGTGAACAACTTGATACTGACTGAGACAAAGTTAATGATTTGGGTGTAGTTCAGAGGCTATTATCATAATTAATATCATCTGTGTTCGTTGTAGTAAAATGAACAATTGTATCGTTGTTATACTGGAATGGTCTCACCACTTCACCGTTTTGTGATTCAATAAACACTGGCGCTAAATCAGACAATGATGATTTATAGAAACAGTGTATGTTATTACTATTATTACACTGACTGATATTGTTATTGTTCACTAAGATACCTTCGAAATTATCACCAGAAGGTTTAGCCGGTACAACATCACTAATATGATGACGGTTTTCCAGGCTTGTATTGATTAGACAAATCTCCTTTTTGATATTCCTTGATTTTACGCTTGTTGCGTTATCAACAGTCGTTATATTCGATGTAGTCAATGATGGTAATGATGGCGATGAGAACGTTGAAAAGTTTTTTGTTGTTATTACAGTGGAGTTTAATGTATTTGTCATTAGTTTTGTGGATTGAGTCTTCTTTAGTGAAGATGTTGACGATGATGGTGACGGCAGCGTTGATATCGTTGATGATGATAACAATGAGGAAACGGAAGATAATGAAGAAGGGATGGAGTTAACGGAGTTCACAGTGTTATTTGAATTAACAATACCATCACTGACGTTAACTACATCATTGTTGATTGACTTTGAAATATTACTGTCAGTATTTGTTTCGTTGAAGGCGGAAGTAGAATTCCAAAGGCTTACCATGTCAGTGTGACGATTCAGTGATTGGTTCTGAGGAATATTAGGATAATAATAATAACAATGATGATGAACAGTATGATTATATGAATAATGTTGTGGATTTGACAATGTGAAATTTTCTGTTGGTAAATTGTATCCACCTGTTGGTTGAAATGATGTGTACAGTAAACTATTTGACAACATATTCCCACATGTATTGCATAATGCCACATAGTTTATCCCATGTGTAGACTCATGATTCTTACCAGCCAGAAATAATGTCGGATGGTAACTAAACTTGGAAGTATTTAAGTTTTGTTCAGCAAGCATTTCATTATTGATCACGTTTCGATTCTACTACTACTGGTTAAAAAACTGGTATCTTGATCAGTCACACGTATATTTAGATTACTATTAATAGCAGCATTATCAGTAGTATATAAATTAGTATTCATTAGACAATTATAATGATAATTTGTTGGTATTTGTACAGAAGCGTTACCGGTTAACATTGTGGAACTACCAGTCTGATTTTGAGGACAAAATGCACAATATGATGTTAATGATGAATTTGGTAAATAGTTCATGGACGGTAGGCTACCATGGTGATTAAAATGAGAATAATTGCCGTTAACTGGTGTGCAGGGTGTAACCTGGACCCTTGTAAAGTTACTGTCTTGAATACTGCTATTCATCCAATCTTTATGGTCTCTAGTAATCCTTTCAACTTTGTTAAATTGGTTGCATCAGCATTGGTAGTATTTGTAGTTGCACTGTCGGTAGCTTCTGAAGACAGAGTTACAGCTGTACTTGTATTATCCATAGAAATACTTACAATACCTGAAGTAGTTAAAGCGTTTGCCGTATTAGAAGCTGTTGAAATTGCCTTAGATAAATTATCATTGGTTATATGCTGCTCTTCTTTCTTAGTGCTACTGTTCTTACTAGTAGTGGAAAAAATCCCACTATCAGTATTATTAGGCATATCATTACAAACAACGATAGGAGTAATATTATTGCATGAAGATTGTTTTATCATAGAATTACTTGATGGTGAAATAACATGCAATGGAATAAGTTCACACTGAATAGTATAAACTGATGGGTTAAGCTGTTGAAAATTGAATATATTTGAATAAAATAAACTATGTGATTGTTGTTTTAATTGATTGGTAGTCAGTATTGGCGGTATATATGAAGGGTGTTTTGGTGGAACTTGTACTCTATTGATTTTATGATAAGGATTTACATTAGCCAGTGTAGTAATGTATAATGGTGATAACACTGAAGTTGATGAATGCTTACCAGTAGTTGATTTATTTGTAGAATTTTGAAGTATACTTTGATTTCCTGTGAATGGTTTATTCATGAAGGCTATAGGTTGTAATGTATACTCTGAGATAAGATTATTTTGTACTGAGAAACTATCATCCAAGTAATTATTTGTATTTATATAATTATCAGTATTACTGTGTATAAGAGTAGGAAAAGCAGGATCAGATATATTCATCTGTTGGTGATTATAGAATACTGGTAAATACCTTATTGTATTCGGTTGAAGAAATTCCAGTTGATTATTGAGTTGAAATGGTAAAAATGGATGATTATGTAAAGAGTAAGCAGAAGATGGTAAATGATTTACAGTAAAATTTAGTGGATTATTTGTATGCTGATAAACTTCATGAAAATGTGATATATCAGTATATGATGGATTTTTTGATGATAAATTACATATGTTACCACTATTATTATTATTATTGCTGGTAATTGTAGTGCTGATTTGCCTTAATGTATGATTATTTTTTACTTTTCTACTAAAATTTTTTGGCTCCATTGCTTTAATTTCAACTTGTTTATTATTCATATTAACATAGTGTAAGTTAATTAATTGTTTGACAACATTTTCATTGTCAAATTCGACGAAAGCAAAACCTCGATGTTTTTGTTTATTTATATCCATCATTAAATTAACATCTGTTACATGTCCATATTGTTTAAAATATGCTTTAATTGATTCAATATCTTGTTCTAAGCTTATACCACCAACAAATATTTTTAAATTACGTCTATTACATCCTTTCATATTAATATTAAACTGTTTTACATCAACTTGTTTACCATCTATAATATGCAATTTAACTTCTAAAGTTAATATAACTGATTTATATTCATAATATTTTATATATCCAAAACCACGTGATCTACCAGTTTTATTATCCATCATTACAATAGCCTTATCAATTTTACCGAATCTTGAAAAATATAAACGTAGACTATCATTATTTGTTGATTGTGATAATCCACCAATGAATAATTTACCAAGTTCATTTCCTTTTGAATCTATCATCGTTTATAATTTTTCTCTGTATTATTGTGATTGAGATAAGTATTAATAGTAAAAAAAATGCAGGAAAGTATCAATTCCGACTTTTTGTTTTTAACATAAGATTTAAATGAATGAAATTACTTGTAGAAAATTAGTAGGTAAGCCTGAAGAGTAAAAAAACACACACCTAAAGTTGACTTCATTCAAATGTAAGTGATGAGGAAATCTACAAGGAGTATTGAAGGTAATAAGCAATATCCTAACATTTAATTATATAAGCATAATACATATATGTGTATATGTAAGTATACAGATTTAGAAATATATCAAATCGTTTATTCTATCAATCCTAGTTAACTTAAAGGTAAGCTTGTGTAAAAAATCAATTAAAAGAGAAAATTTAAAACTGATTAATCGATTAAAGTTGATAAAATATTTAATAATATGAGCCTAATATATATTTTCACGTCTATGAATAGCATTAAAATGTACTAAAAAGGATGAAATGTGAAACTGAGATAAACAAATAAAACATCACATCATTTGCTGAGTAGCTTTTTATGAGACATGTTCATCTGCATTCCTACGAGGTGTCTTTCAAATATAGACTAAATCCAGCATCTATGAAAAAATAGTTTAAATACCACAATATAATAAACTAATGGTCGAATATTCTTAAATCTATACCATTTGTGGGGATTTAGTAATTTTTCAAGTTGGTATACATCGTAGACTGTCCTAGTATGGAACTCCTCAGCAGTATACACCTATGACCCCACTTCACTATGAGTTGAACCCAGAAGCTTCAGGTTTCGTGGCCAGTATGTTACCATTCAGCTACTGAGTTAGAATCCAATGGTTTCAGTGTGAAGTCGTGACCAGTAGGTCAAACCTGGTGGCTGTGAGGACAAATACTCAACGGTAACACTGGGTGATGGTCGCGCTATGTCGTGAGCTGACAGAAGTTGGAAATATGGACCCTTGGATACCAACTCAGTGACTCAATGAGGACGTGTTGACCATGTAACCTAAGGGTCCTGGGTTCGATCCCCGGCGGGATGAGGACGTGGGTACGCACCGCTGAGGAGTCGCATTCGAGTGGGACAAAACAGCTGTTCAATGCTTCCAGCTTTTCAGTGCTCCTGCAACTGATACCAATTCATGATGAATGTCATTCGTGGATTGTTGAACAGGTGGAATTTTGTTCACTGCCCTTTCAAAGACCAGGTTTATTGGTATTTACACCATTCGACCAAATACCAGTAACCTTTAGGACTTTCGTATTCTTAGCGATGATCAAAGTTTATAGATTATTAATTGATACAATGCTATGCTGTTTTTCAGTGTAAGATGTTAGAAATAGACGATTACGATGCCATGCTTGTACTTTTGAGATTTTAAAAGCTTGGCATAATTATATCCTTAGAGAAATCGATATTCCTTTGGTGATCTCTAGCTAAGTCAGTTTGTAGTGAATTAACCGAATTCTCCATGAAGCTCATGAGACCGATAGAGACGTTCCGGCAGGAGTGAATTATTTACAGAGATTGTTAATCAAACAGTAAATGATCCAGTCCCTAATTTTTTGTACTATATCTTTTGCTCAGCAAGATGTATTAGAATCCTCGCATGTGTTTTTATTCATCCATCAATCCAACATTTAGTACTTCAGACACCAGAGTTTTCTACGTTTGATCAACAAGTCATGCGAATCACTACTCCTTTAACTCACTTTTGGTTTAATTTTGATTTGTATTTGAAGTCTACTGAACTGAAATGGTCAGCCTATGTTAGCATGAGAGATTTTTTCACGAATACTTCGAAATATCCCAACAAATTCTAATAGATTTGATCCTGTGGATTGAACAAACAGCATTTAACAAGTTCAAAGAACACTTCAAAATAATTCAGTAGAATGACACGGATAGAGGCAAAGATATTTACTGTTGATGACTTTCGACTATGTGAATGGATACCACTATGATGAGTTCAATAAGGTTTGAGGACTACACCGTCCTATTTGTTAGTTATAATGTTTTTGACTTTACGTGGTATCAGTTTGTGCGCTAACCAATATTTTTAAAGCATTTATGACACTTCTCGGTTGCTTAAAGTGAAATATGTGGCGATAGAATCGAATCTAACCTCGCCTGGTTAACTAGTTTACTAGTTACTAGCCGGTCCTAAGCCCGTTTAAAGAGGGAAGGTTGGGAATAGGGCTAGCAACCCTACACCGTAAAACAAATCTAACCGCTAAACAAACTTCAAAGCACAAACAAAATATAAAAATGAAAACAAACTTATTCTCCGCTGGAATCGGAGAGGCGAAATGACGCCAGTTGGTGAAAGCCTGCCTTCGGGAAGCCAATTGGCCGATGTGTCTTCTCTCCCTCGATGAAAGCGAAAGTAAATGTGGGGACGTGGAATGTCCGCACGATGTTTGAACCCAGCAAGGCAGCTCAGATTGCAAACGAGATGAGAAGGTATCACACTGAAGTGCTTGGGATTTGCGAAAGCAGATGGAATAGGAGTGGACTCTCCAAACTGTCAACTGGAGAATCAATAATCTACTCCGATATGGTCGCCCAGACGACAACCACGAGCACACTGAGTTTTGCAATGGCTACCATGATGTCCCCAACAGCATCGAAGGCTCTCATGCAGTGGGAACCAATCTCCTCAACGATCAGGATCATGACAGCAAGATTCAACTCATAAGGAAGGAAGGAAGGAAGGTCACAATCATACAATGCTACACTATGCACCTACAAATAATGCAGAGCAAGAGAAAAAGGAGGAATTCTACACACAACTGCAATCAACACTGGACAAGACACCGCCTCAGTTGGCGATATCAAAATTCTAATGGGTGGGGCGACATGAATGCCAAACTGGGAGTGGACAACACAGGAAGAGAACTAACCATGGGTCGAGAATCGCTCGGTCAGGTGATGAACGAGAATGGAGAATTGTTTGCAGACTTCTGCGCATTCAACGATTTGCTGATTGGAGTCAGGCAGTGTGTTCAAGCACAAGGATATCCACGAAGCGGGCGAAATGGATTTCACCAGACACCAGGACACACTAAAAATCAAATCGACTTTATCTCAATCTGAAGAAAATGGAGACGCAGTCAGCCTACTTGACACAAGGTGAAGAAGAGGAGCAGATGTAGGTTCACACCACTCACTATCTAGTGCAAGGAACTTGCCTTCCAAATCAAGTTAAATGCCTTCAAGGAAGCTGGTGATAGACCTCAACCCAAGTACAACACTCGGAAACTGAAGGATGAAACTACAAAGGAGATCTTCACGGCAGCCATGAAGACAAAACGGGAGACATCGAGGAACATCCCTGAAGAAACCTGTGTGGAAGAACACTGGAAGTCTTCGAAAGCTATGTGGAAAGAAACCTGCACAACAGTATTAGGAAGGAAGAAGAAAGAAGATAAGGAATGGATCTCGACGGATACCTGGAAGCCCATAGAGCAGAGAGAGGCGGATGGTGAAGCAGAAGATAAACCAGTGCAGTGCAAGGATGCTCAACGACAAGAGGAACTGAGTACAAAGTATAAAACACTTGACAAAGAAGTGAAGAAGAGTGTACGTAAAGACAAAAGACACTTCTACGAAACACTGGCAAGTGAAGCAGAACAGGCTGCCGGCTGGTAAGAGAGACCTGACGACATTGTATCAAATAACCAGGTTGCTATCAGGGAAGAGACCAACACAGATGAAACCAATAAAAGACGAAGAAGGAAATTTAATTACAAAAGAAGAGAAACAGAGGAAACGATGGGCCGACCACTTCAAGAAGCTCTTGAATCGACCACCACCTGCACTTCGTCCAGAAATACCACCTGCAGCCGCTGAACTACAAGTGAACATTAATCCCCTAACGAAAATGGAAGTCCTGAACGCCATTAAGCTACTGAAATGTGGGAAAGCAGCAGGACCAGATGGGATACCGCCAGAAGCACTGAGAACAGATGCAGAGACAACAGCGGACATGCTCACACCACACCACTATTGCAGAAGGTGTGGAAGGAAGAGAAGGTACCTGCCTATTGATTGGAAGAAGGGTTACCTTGTCAAACTCCCGAAGAAGGGAGACCTCAGTGTTTGCAAGAACTGGCGTGGAATCACTCTCCTGTCCACCCAGTGCAAGCAAAATATTAAGCAGCATCATCCTGGAGAGGCTTAAAGATGCACTGGATTCAAAACTACGATCGGAACAGGCTGGCTGGCTTCAGGAAGTACAAATCATGTGCCGACCAAATTGCAACGGACGCTTTGCATCATCACAGAACAGAGTATAGAATGGCAATCAGCTCTCTACCTCAACTTCATCGACTTTGAGAAGGCCTTTGACAGCGTCGACCGAGAGGTAATTTGGAACTGCTTCAGTACTACGGAATACCGCAAACCTTTATCAGCCTCATTCAACAACTATATGAAGATGCCACATGCCAAGTAATTCACAATGGACAGCTCAGTGATGCCTTTGGAGTGAAGACAGGAGTGAAACAAGGTTGCCTACTATCCCCATGATATTCCTTATTGTGGTCGACTGGATCATGCAGCAAACAGTAGGCAGCGAGAAGAGGGGGTACACTGGACGACGGAAAAGAACCTAGAAGACTTGAATTTCGCCGATGACTTATGCCTAATGTCACACAAACTTGAAGATCTGCAGGCAAAAACTAACAAGTTGATAGAAGAGTCAGCTAAGACGGGACTTCAAGTGAATATAGAGAAGACAGAAGTGATGAAGATACCGCACCACCACCATCAACAACAACAACAAACTCCAATCACCGTCAACGGGAGAAACTTGAAGGAAGTAACCTCCTTCACTTATCTAGGAAGCACTGTTTCAACTACAGGCGGGACGGACGAGGACGTCAAATTCAGAATCGGAAAGGCAAGACAGGCGTTCATTAGCCTGAAACCAGTGTGGAGATCTTCTGCACTCAGCATGTGGAACAACATCCAGATTTTCAACACCAACGTCAGTCTAGT